ATTCACAGATCTTAATCTTTTCGGATTCTTCCCCCAGAGTTTGCTACTGCTGTGTACTATCAACTATCCTAACCAGTTTCTTCCACATGTTGTCGAGTCAAACAATTTCATTGTAAGGACTCCATTGACTCTGATTGAATCCGCAGATCCTGACGCTGAGGTAATCGCCTTATCCCCAAAGACGCTCCTTGCGACGAACAGATTCATCTGCGAAGTGTGCAACAAGGGGTTCCAGCGGGAACAGAACCTGCAGCTGCACCGGCGTGGCCACAACCTACCGTGGAAGCTGAAGCAGAAGAACCCCAAGGACGTCCGCCGCCGTGTGTACGTCTGCCCCGAGCCGACCTGCGCCCACCACGACCCCTCTCGCGCCCTCGGCGACCTCACCGGCATCAAGAAGCACTACTGCCGCAAGCATGGCGAGAAGAAGTGGAAGTGCGACAAGTGCTCGAAGCGGTACGCCGTGCAGTCGGACTGGAAGGCCCATTCCAAGACGTGCGGTACTCGCGAGTACCGCTGCGACTGCGGAACCCTCTTTTCCAGGTACTGCGTGCATCTATCATCGCATCCAATGCTCATCGATCGATGCATTTTGGACATCCAACTCCAATCCATGATTGAAACATCAGCATCCATCCCGCAGTAGGTTCTTGGTCATGTTGGTGGTGCTACTCCCCTCTGCACTCATCACCGATCTCGGTTTCGGTGACTGGGATTTCTCGATCTAAGAATCTTAGGTAGGGTTAGGGTTACCATCACTGGATTCACGTGGTGCCCTGGAGGCAATGCTTACCAAGTTCCTTTGTTGTGTTGTGAATTGGAGATACATGGGCAACAAGGCATGGCCATGGCACACAGCTCCACCATTTCATGAGAGTCGCCTTTGGTTGTGAGCGAATTATTCTTGTCCGGAGGTGCGACACCACTCGAGGTGTGAAGTGCACCGACACTTACTCTTGTTAGGATGAGTAAATGTAAAGGAGTTGTGCATTGATTGAGGTAATCGCAACAAATCTTGGCTTCGGAGCAATGGAAAGGGCTTCAAATCATGGAAGGAGTTCCCTCTCGAATATATTATATGGTTCTAATCTGATGCCTTGCAACACGATGTATGAAACAGAGATGCATGCTTAGCATCTTCTTTCTTCCAAGAGTGCAACTAATAGCTTCATCTTGTGGTCATTGACGCAGGCGTGATAGCTTCATTACACACAGAGCCTTCTGCGACGCATTAGCACAAGAGAGCGCGAGGGTTCCAGCCAGCATGAACACCATCGGCAGCCACTTCTATGGCAACACCGGAATAAATTTGGGCCTTCCTCACTTGAATTCGCAGCTCTCCACCTTGCAAGATCAAACACATCCATCAGCAGATCTTCTCCGGCTTGGCGGAAATGGCAATGCTATGCAGTTCAATCACCTCACGGTGCCGTCCTTCCGACCACCACCGCCACCTCAGTCTGCCCCGTTCTATCTTGGTGGCGGCTCAAGCCAAGACATCAATGAGAACACTCAATTGCTACAAAGCAAACCATTCCATGGCTTCATGCAACTGCAACACCTCCAAACCAACACCGAATCTTCATCCCCCTCGGCTGCCGCAGCTGCTACTAATCTTTCCAATCTTGGCATCTTCTCTGACAGCAGCAACAGGAGCGCCGTCACCAACAGCAGCAACGTAGCAATGAACCAGAATGCTCATCTACTCGTCTCTGATCCATTTAACACTGCTGGTGGAAGCAACGGGCCAAACGCAATCTTTGCAGGAAATATCGTGGGCAACAATCTTCTTGATGCAAACATGTCTCCTATGTGCAACAACTCGGTGAGCAATGAATCAATGCCACCACATATGTCGGCAACTGCACTTCTTCAGAAGGCTACGCAAATGGGTGCAACATCCAGTTGCATCAGTGCGAGCTCCTCGCTCAGAGGAGTCGGCAGCTTATATTCTAGCGCTGCAAAGAATGCAGGTTCTCGGACTGTCTTCGATGGCGTAGAGAGCGAGAGCCATTTCCAAGATCTCGTGAATTCTCTCACTAACGAAACCAGTGGCATACTGAGTGGTGGAAACCAGCAAGAAACCGGGTTCAGCGGCTTCGGAGCCACAGACAGGTTAACTCGAGACTTTCTTGGGGTTGGCAGCATGATGAGGAGGATGGGAGGAGTTCTAACGCAAAGGGAGGAACAACATCTCGGCATCGACATGGCCTCTTTGGATCCGGAACTGAAGTCAGTCTGCAACAAGCGTTACTGAAGACAAGGCAGACTTGGTAGGTATGCAACTCGACTTGGCCAATACTGGGAGAGAAAGCTGCTGCTGTAGTCACTTTCCTTACTGTCACTGCGAAACCAGTTTAGCAGGAGCCAAATAACTGCAGCTTGTCCCAGCTTCAAGCTAAAGGACTGTGTTATACGCAATCTTAACCTGCAATATTTCCTTTCTAAATTGTCTTTCTCCTTCTTTAGCTTTGTTACTATTGGACAAGAAGCCTGTACTCTTTAAGTCTACTGAAGCTAATGAAAGCTTTCCTTCATGGGTTACATTGTTTGCCCTCCGTCTCTCTCTTTATGTACTCAGAGACAAGCAAGCGGCAAAGGATAAGTGAGAGTGAGAGAGAGAGAGAGAGAGAGAGAGAAAACGCAATACTATAATCCATGTTTGGTGAAAAGAGTGCTTTGAATTTGTACACGCATATATTCGGTGAGACTTCGCAGGTGTTGAGAACGATGACCACACGTTGACCGCCAGTCGCAACCCGCCCAAAGGCTTGATAGTATCGACCACATCAGCATCGGCCCGCCACAGAGTTATCATCTCCTCCCCTTCGTCACGTCCCCGAACGCCCTTTGCCTGCCATGGACGCGAGGGTGACGACAAGGTCGTCATCGTCATCAACTCCGGTGGTACCACCGTGTAGCACACCCCGTTGCAGGGACCCATAGGGAGAGCGACAGGTTCACGGATGTTGCCGCATTACGAAGCACTCGTTGGTCCCTCATGTGAGCCTCCCGTCGTTATGCCATTCCCTGCTTGATTTGCCTTGCTATGTTTGCAGAGAAATATCTTCTGATATATCACTTTCGTTTAGGATATCGGATTCCTTTTCTCCTCCTCTCAGGTCGCCGTCACCGCTCGTGCGTCAGGGAGGGTGAATCCTTTCTCGACATCTCGTTCTTATTCTTTAGTTCATCTCAAGGAAGGCAGTTCGATCGAACAGTTCTCTGAATGGCTTGAACATACAGTAACGATGGGTAGATATACTTTTACCCGATCTACACATGAACAATGGCGCATACGTTCCACCTTTGTTCAGCATCATACTTCGATATATAGCAGTGTCGTAATGCTGTTGTTTTACATGGTCATGGAATGTCTTCTGCCTCCAAGCAGATGATGCCTTCGAGGTGTTGCAGTTCCATCTAAAGGCAAATGCTAAGTTTAAGAGGATGTGCCAAATTAAAGTGCATGCGTTGCTCCGACAGATGAATCCATAGGGCAAGGACACTGCATCTGTACAGCCAACAAAACAAATATGAAATGACAAATATATATATATATATATATATATATATATATATATATCTATCTCATTTTCATATTAGTCAATATTGGTTCGAAGGTGCTTTACATCAAGGGTGTAATGGGATTTCTACTAAGAGATTACAAGTGAAACTTGGACTGGATGCAAAACTGAAGCATTAACCATAAAAAGGATTATTTTTGAGTTAATTATATATTTTTTAATTAACTATAATTAATATTTTAGTTTTTATACTTTCAAAAATTAAATTATGATCTCTACTTATACTTACGAAAGTGAAATATTTAATCATGTTCTTCTTTATGTTATCGATTCTATTGATGAAAATACCATATGTGATCGATGATAAATTAAGTGAGACAGAGTCGACACGTGCTTAGTGATAAACCCTATGATATTTTTATTAGCTATATGATGAGAAACTAGATCAAATGTTTCACTTCCATAAATATAAATATCTCAACGTAACTTTAAAAATATAAGGTTTGAGATGCTAATAATAGATAATTACATGAGGTAATATATAATTAATTCACTATTTTTTTACAAGTAGAAAAGGGGTATATTTGGAAGTTGAGAGGGATGATTAAAATCTAATTAAGATTTTGAAGAAAGAAGAATTACTTCCTTAGTCTCATGAAATTGCATTACCAATATGGAAGTTCTGATATCCAAGTTATAAAGTTCCTACACATAGAGATGATATTGACCTCCCTTTTTTTTTTATCTTATATCATAGGCTAATCTTATTTTGAATTTAATATTTCTCCACAAAAATTAACTTATACTGTCTCATGAAAACCTCTGATTAATCACCTCTTAAAGAGTTCATTTGTAAAGACAACAACGTTAGTAGCATTTTTTTTAAAATCTCTTTAGATGTTCAAATGCAAGAGGCTTAAATCTCTTGCTATTTTGTTTTATCATCGATCGTACAAATAAATTTAGGTTAATTATATATTATTCTTATAATTAGTTATATTTAGTATCTTAATTTTTATATTTTTAAAAATTATATTAGGATCCATATATTTATGAATCGTTAATTTTATCGATAAAAATAATGTAGAGTTTATCACTGAAGACGTGTAGTATTTTCATCAATAAAATCGATAATATGAGAAAAAAAATATGATTATATATTTTAGAGTAAAAAAAAAAATATAATTTTTAATAATATAAAAATTAAAATATTAAGATTAACTAATTACAAATGATAATATATAATTAGTCCCATAATTCTCAATGACGACGCTTTTTATGGAGTTTCTGGAAGGACTCCGGACTAATGTACCCACACGGTCACCTTCCGTGGGACCCACGTTCCGCAGCTGCTTGAAATACCTCTCTCTGTCTCTCTCTCTCACTGGATCTTGTGGCTCCCACCACTTGGTTACTCCGTGTTTCTAAAATAGTGTCCCCCCCCCTCCTCTCTCTCTTTTCTGGTCTCTCCTCATCTCTCTCCCTCCCCGTCTCTCTCTCTCTCTTTTTCTTTCTCTTTTTTTCGGTTTTGTTTTTCCCACCTCCTTGGGATAATAAAGAGCCGAGCTTCGATCGAATTTGGGGGTAATCGGCAATGGCGGAAGGCGGTGGCGAGGGGCAATCGAGAGAGCTCGACGAGACGCCCACATGGGCGGTGGCTTCCGTCTGCGCCGTTATCATCTTGATCTCCATTCTGTTGGAGAAGGGCCTGCACCACCTCGGACAGGTGACCCCCTCGATTTCGTCACATTTCCTTTTCATGTGGTCCTCTCTTTTCTTTTTCTTTCTTTACCTTAAAAATAATAAAAGTTTAGCTCTCTTTTACCGCTTGAGAGAATGGTTTGAACGAAGATGTTGTTATTAATCAACCTTGATGCATTGCACGATTCATGTTATTATCCTGTCTAAAGTGAGTTCTTCAAGAAAATATTGGGGGCTGTCTGTTTCCCTTGTTCTGTTCTTTCCCTATATAAAGCCATTTCAAGATTTTGGTTTCGGTTCATCTTGGAAGCTCGACTCATGTTCATGTTCTCTTTATTTAGGTGCTTTTGTGTGCTTAATTGTTGCCAATACTGATAGATGATTCTCTTCATGAAAATTGGGTCCTCTGTTCTGCTTGGTCTCCATGTTTTGTTTCAATTTGTTTTCTATTTTTTCTTTCTCGATTTTGCTATATGAAGGATTGTTTTGTGGAATGAATAATGGTGGTAGAAACGAAAGGTATTAGAACTAAAATAGTCTTTCTTTAGAAAAACCTCCGGTGCTTCCTTCGTTTTATGCTAGTACTTGAATTTTTCTTGCCACTAAAAAGAAAAGAAGAGCTTGAGTTACACAGGCATGAAAGTTAATCTTCTTCGGCTTACTGCCTGATTTGTGAATACTTGGTTTGCTTTTAACATTATCTTGGTTGGCAGTGGTTTACAGAGAGGCGCAAGAAGGCTATGTTTGAAGCTCTTGAGAAGATTAAGGATGGTAAGAAATGAAGTTTTATACTCTTCCTGATTAGATGAACCTAAGCACTACGTTTGTAACTAAACCTTATTTTGTCTTGATCATGACTCTATAATTTTAACCGATGTGACACTATTTTTTTTGAGGAATTGAGTCGAAGGAATTCTGAATTCTATTTACATTATTCAAATATAATTCAAAAGCTCCCGTTCTAAAGTTCACAAACATGTACTCACCAGTGAAGCCAAAACCCCACAATAAAAGCTGAAATGTAATTGTAACCCATGTCAAATAAACAAAATAAACGAACAACTACAAGAATAAACAATCACCTTTTACAACTGGAAGATCTAATAGACACTTTCCAACTGTTAAATTCAGAATATTTAATGGTATTTTCTGTCAAATGGCAGCTAACTGGAACTTAAGTTGAAATAAATTGGGTGCTGAAAAACATACACAATAAACCGAGAATTATTGTTGAAAGTCCCATAATTTCTTTCTCTTTAGTTTGTTTGCAGTTCGCTAGTGCCGACGACAGCATATCTCGACCAACCAAAATCTAGACCAACAACAGTCTGCTATGTATTTCTTCTGTTCAAAACTATCATAAAAATTCGACAAGGCCCTCCTCTAAATTGGATGTAATTTCTGATCTACTTCTGTAGTTTCCTCAACAAAATACAACAAATGGATAAATTATATTTGTTAATACCAATGCCATGCAGTGCATCCCCATTCATTTTCTCTATATTATGCAATGGAAGAATCTTATCTCCATATACATCTTCCGTTTTGTGGTTCTATTATTCATGTTGACATCCTGAATCAGATAAGCTCATTTCAATCCTTCTGTTGTAGCTTTGTCAGGTTTCTTTATGTGAACTTAATATTCTATGAGCTACCTTCCCGTTCATCACAAAAAGGAGTTCTTTTATCCCTAGCCAAGGATCCCTTTTCTTGGTATATTATCTGTAGTAGGCAGTACATGCTGGTTCAGGTCCAGACTGTTGTATGGGTGGTACATCCTGGTTTGAATACAGACTAATACATAGACTGTCAAGTTTTCTGTGGAATTTGGTTTATATTTGATAAATTTCAACAGTTTTGTGACTTTGGTGAAAGTCTCTAAACTGATTAAACATTGAACTAATGGGACTTATGAATAAGCCTTTACTAGTTTTTGTATCTCAAGCTTGACTCATAGTGACACCACAACCAAAAATGAACAAGAGGGTTTGAATCATTCCTTTCCTTTCTTTTCAATTTTCTACCTTGTTTTTGTACTTCTACTGTTGGCACACAATGGTGTAGTCCATACTGGCATGATATACTGGTCTGACCAGCAATGGGTAACAGATCCAGTATTACAAACAGTGATTCTTCCCCCAGGCTACCTCATAGAGTTTAAGAACAAATGACACAGAGCACACTCACTGATTTAAATGATGACTACAATTATGTAGATTTTCCATTGCCTTATACCTTATGAAACCGAAGTAGGAAAATACAAGATGTTATTGAAACGACTGTCCAAAAGGGGTACTACTTTGCAGAAACTGGTTCTTGTCTTCTAGAATATCTCCTTGGCACTGAATCAGCTAAGATTTTATTCTCACTCTGTAGTGCTTATTACCATCAGTTATCCATTAAGGACCATCTAAAATCTGTCAAAGTTGATTATTGCCAAGGTCCTGAATTTCTTCTTCTCGCAAACCTGCCTTCGATTTAGCATTGAATACCTCTACTGTTCATATCATTGCCCTTTCAGAGGCTCAATCCTTCTACTTATTGCCCAAGGAGGAGGTGTGGAAAGCAAAAATAAGTCGAAATTTCAGAGAGAATGGAATTTTTTAAATTCAGCATAACACCAATAGACAAGTTTTTTATATACTCTTCATATCTCTACTACACCTGAATCATTGCCATCCAATCACTCTTATAACGTAACATTGCTTTTAAAAAAAAAAAACAAGTAAATTAAGGACAATGGCTTCTCTTTGCCTTTCATAATCCAAGCCGACTCAAAAACAGTAATTTGTTATTCGCAAAAGCATCAGATAAATTTTATGAAATCTAATCTTCATGACCTTTGCCTAATAATATTGTCCTTGCCAGCTAAAGCCAAATAATCAAGGTATCATCTGCAGAATATAGACTCGTAAACTCTCGCCAATGAACTTTCTTGGAGACCATGCAAGAAACTTCTTAATGACTAACTTCAACAACTGGTTCAGTCAATTGGCCACCAAGAAAAAAAAGAGAGAATGATACAAATTGTTTCCCATTCAGAGTCTTTTATACATCTGATTTCACTATAATTAGTTCCAGTCAAAGAGAAATGGTTTGTTATGAAGTGATTACATTCAGAACCCATCTAATCCATTTATCACTTCACCTACTACTAACTAAAACTTATTCAAGAAAAAACCTAGTCTAAAGATTCTTGTCTTTGGGTCTACTTGTCCTTGTGTTTGACTTGGTCAAAATAAAATATGAAAAGTTGTTTTGTGATTAAAATGCTTTCACTAGATTTGTTGCTTAAGTTACCTTTGTCAACTCTTTTGGTGATTTTTGCAGAGTTGATGATTCTTGGATTCATATCCTTATTGCTGACATTTGGTCAGAACTACATTATCCAAATCTGCATACCTGAGGAAGCTGCAGATACCATGTTGCCATGTCTCAAGGAGGGAAAAGAGGAAACCATTGAGGGTGAAGGCCATCGTAGGAGACTTTTATGGAGCTCACTTGAGGGATTTGGTTCAAAGCATCGAATGTTAGTGGAAGCTTCATCATCGCCTCACTGTCCTGAAGTAAGTGCATATGCACAGTTTGTGCCTATAAAACTGCATACTTGCTTTCTGCAATGAATTTGGAGTCGAACAAATGTGATGATTTTGTTTTCTATGAATTCTGGGAAATTAGTTTACTTGGTCCACATAGTATAAAATGCTATTTTTGGAAAGGGCGAAATAAAATTGGTAAAATAGAAGCTACATTATATGAACATTTAATATATGGTCTCAAAGGCTCTGCCATTTCACTTAAAGTTAGTTGCATCATAAAAGCTGTCATGGGAAGAAATAGCACTAGTAATATAGAAGTTATATTATATGAGTATTTAATTTTTCGTCTCAGAGGCACTACCATTTCAATGTGAAAGTCTGTTGCAACATCAAAGCTGGATATCCTGGGAGTTCCTTTTTATAGTAAGATCAAACACATTATCTGATTCAGTATGCGCTCTGCAACTAAATGATCAACTGCATTCCATAAAAATGGAATGCATTGGGATCTCCAAAAGCTAGGAGACCTATGGACAACATGATTAGGCTCCCTTGGTATATGACAAAACTGTACAATTGTCTATCTATTCTGTATAAAATGAATGTCAGCAAAAATATTATAAGAAACCAAGGAACCACGGTCATTACCTTAACAAAATTGTTGACCTCCTCTGAGTCGGACTTTATCCATGAGTTAGATAGGTAAAGATATTCAGCCTTTCTCAATCCATTTCAAGGATTAATATTTTGCCTAGTTCAGTCCATGATGACCGGTATCTATCGGTCTGAGTGTGAACCAGTTTGCAGACCATCCCTTTTCCGGTGGTCCACTTTGGTTTACATTTTCTTTTAGCTCTAGGTCCCATGTATTCATGCATCTTGCGGCAGCATTGGGAGATGCACTCACTGCCCGCCGTCCATCAGTCACTGCCAGAATGGTATATCTCCTCTTCCTCCTTCGTCTTCTCTCCTCCTTTCTTCCTTCTTCTTCCTCTTCTTCTCCTTCTTCTCCCTTCTTCTTCCTCCAGTTGCTTTCGTCTTTGGCATACCATGTGTCAATATGTCGGACGCATACCGGTCTAGATCCGGTATCTGAAATTGAGTTCCTTGATCCATCCAGCAATGCGAGGGCCATCCTAGGATTGCTAGTTTTATGGCTTCCACATCCAAGACCAAGTACCTTGCCACAAGCCTATTTCAGCACAAATCCTTTACCCACAGGAATATCAGGGGAGATAATTGAGTCATCTGTTTCTACAACATAACACTCACATCATTGACCACTCGAGTGTCTCCTTGCTTTTCTAGAATCCCCTGAGTATTTTGAACTATATTGAAATAGTAATTGATACAGGCTAAATATTGAAATAGTAATTAATACAGGCTAAACTTTACAGATGAATGATTAAGGATTAGTTTGATAGTTGTGCAATTTGGCATCATTCCTAATAATCCACAAGTACCATAGGGAGGTAACAATAAGATGTTGAATCCAATTAGAAGAACATTTGGCTAAATATTTCCCTTCCTCTAATGAAGCACCACATATCTGTTGAAGAAGATTCGTGAAGGACATAGCCAAGGAGAATTTATAAAAGATATGTTTAGGAGAATCAATATACAAATAACAAAATAAGTTTTACCCACCCTCGGAGAATATTAGACATCTACCTAAAAGTTGGGAGTCTATTCTAGCAACACTTCTTAAGGAAAACCTTAATTTTAGGAGCAGCTTTGAGATGCCAAATTGTCTTTTAACCTGGTCGATTCTTTTTTATCAACATCATCGTTCGTACTGAAGTAACAATAAGCATTGCTAACAAAAATAGATCTAGAAGGGCAAAGTGCCAAGTCCCACTTCTCTTCATAGGGAACTTGAGAGAAAGATGAATACTCTGAATTTTCTTGAACATGGAGGGATGGAATAGAGCAATTAACTTAAGATAATTCTATTAATTGTTCATGGTTAAGTTAAACACCATGCTGTGATTCCTCATTTCACTTACACTGATAAGAGTAGGCAATCTATTAAAAGGGGTACTGTCAGACCAGAAGTCTTCCCATAAGGTTCTTGGGGGTTGATGTATGGATATTGTAGAATAATGTAAAATGATACAATATCACACCATTTGGTACCTTTAACAGGATATGACTGCACTTGACTTCATTGTTGTTGTCAACCTACCCACTAGAAAGATTTTGAATCATGATATTAAATCAAAATTTTTTAGTTTGCTCCAAGCAATGATCTTGATAAATCTTTGTGGTTCAGTTATTTAGATTTGATTCTAACATCTTTTAAATTGGATCTTTCTTTAATTGTTTTCTCTTTTTAAATGCAGTTAGTTTTAAAATTGGAATCTGCTACTGTTTTTTCTATTTATAGGGAAAGGTACCACTTATTTCGCTGCATGGTCTCCATCAGTTGCACATTTTCATATTTTTCCTGGCTATCTTTCATGTGACGATTAGTGGTCTTACGATGGCTTTGGGAAGAGAAAAGGTAAACAGTTATTTGAAAATTTACCAATTCTTGTATTGGATAGCTTCAAATAGCAAATTAGTTTGAAAAGTTATAATGAATTATTATTATTTGTTAAACAACTGTTATCATGCAGATTAGCAGTTGGAAGGAGTGGGAAATAGAGACCTCCTCTCCAGATTATGAATTCTCAAATGGTAATCATGTTTGCAATTTATACTTCATGGTGTTTGCGGTAGAACTTTTATATGAAAATCATTACACTCGTTAGTCACTGAATATCTCTGCCTGCTAATGCCTTACCATTGTGCCAAGGCCCAACCTTAAATGTTTTCCTGATTATAAAGTGACATTATGGTATCTAATAGATTGTATATTGCCAAACCAAGTATTTTGTTGCTTCTTTCTTATGTCTAATGCTAAATTCAACAACTATATTCTATTAAAAATTAGTGATCACTGAATTCTGCCCAGCTGGGGCTGGGACATACTTTTTAATATGCTTATTCATACTTAAAGAAATATTAGTTTAGGTAAAATTAACATTGGAAATATTACTATGTTCATCATGAAAGCAGATTCCTTTGGGCATTGTTTGCCCCATTGTTATTACTTATTGGTGATGCCCACAGTTTGCTCCATCCAAGTTGATATAAGCACATAATAATCAAACTTATCACTGATCACTAGACAGTTTCACTCATCTGTCAAGTTAGGTTACTAGGTGGAACAAAATCTTTGACAGATCTGACAGGACATAGTTCTTGTGAAGGTTTTATATCTTGATAATACTGGTTGGTATGATTGATATTTACTGGTCTAACCATGTTCCAGTATTGAAGCACATAGCTAGATAGTGGTTCAATATTATTTGTTTTATTTTTGTATTATGTTATTTAATGATTCCGAATGGAGTAGATTTAGTTATTGCCTAGTGTATGATAGGTTACTAAAACCGATATCCTTGGTTCATACTCTCTCCAACTTGGCAATTGTAATATCCTGATCAATTACGTCTTTGCTGTTTTCAAATTTTAACTAAAAGTTTTGCTTGCATTCAAATGGTGCAGATCCCTCAAGGTTTAGATTTTCACATGAGACATCTTTTGTGAGACAGCATACAAGTTTCTGGAATAGAATCCCAGTCTCATTTTACATTGTAAGAAGATTCTTCAGCTGAATATTATTTATTTTTACCTTTCATTTGCTTTCTGATTTGATAGATAACGCCCGTAAGTGTAATTGCATCCAAAAATAGTGTAGTGAGCTTCGTTTCTAACAATTGTTTTGTGATTTATTAATCTAAGTCTCATCTCAGGATTGCATATTTCATTTAAGATCCCAAAATTACATTAGATGCAGTGGATTAGCAAAATCTTAAGTTTTATACTTGCCTGTTTTTTAACGAAAACATCATCTTTTTGTTATGGTAAAAGTTATGTTATGAAGATGATGGTCTTGTAGTATCTTACTTATGCAGGTTAGCTTTTTTCGTCAATTTTTCATTTCTGTTCGAAAGGCTGATTACTTGGCCATGCGTCAGGGTTTCATCACTGTGAGTTTTCTAATGGAGAGTTCACAATGTTTCAAATGGAATTGTTGTTTGCTTTAGTTTTAATATCACTCACTACAGGTTCATCTAGCTCCTGGTAGTAAATTTGACTTCCAAAAATACATTAAAAGGTCACTGGAGGATGACTTCAAGGTTGTTGTGGGAATCAGGTTTGATAATAAATCTTCAAATTTCTATGTCATATGCTTGTTATCAAATCATGTAAACTAATTCATTTTGTGTATTGCCATTTTGCTGCTACCAGCTAGGGGTTGGTATTTAATAATGATAGAGCTAACAATATAAAATATTCATCTATTCTTGTCTTCCGAATATATAACATTTACCAGAAATCTTTTCTCCAAAATATGGGAAAAAGCAGCCAAGATATGCCATTGTTCATGGACTGATTTTCGAAGCACCAGACTTAGATGGAGTAAATGTAGGAAAAGGAGTGCCTACAGGGATTAAGAATATGTTACGTTCATTATACCAAGCTTGATTGAAAACCAAGAATAAAAGGTAAAGAAGGATTGTATTGATCGCTACATGTCTTAAAAATATTGTATTAGATTGGTGTTTCAACTCATGCCAAATGTGCCATTGTATTATAGGCTAATTTTTCGTAATATGCTGCCATGCACAGTGTGTTATCTAACATGACAGGATAATCCTTGTCCCATGATAGTTGATAACTTTTCTTTTACCCATCAATTCAGGATACCAAAGTGAACTATGACAGCTCATATTATGTTTGTGTTGTTATATGGTTGCACTAAGGTGTTGCTACTTGATTTGGTCCATAGCATGTGAGGGTTGTGATCAATTGGCTTGTTAACTAGAGTCATGGTGTGCAATAAAAAATTGAAAATCTCCTTCTAGATTTGACCAATTTTTATTAGAAAATGTACATCTATTGCCAACCCTCAAGTTGTTGACATGCTAACTGAGGAAAGTTTGGGAAGGTGGGGATCTATGTGATTTAAGCACATTCAGCTAGGAAGCAACCAACGTTTCAATGTTTGACCCGATATCACTGCCAGTCCTTAGGTGGACTCCTATGGTACCAACACGATTCGGTACACACCCCCTTGTCTACTTGGGTTGGGGTAGAACAGAAGAATGGCAAAATAGAGAGAGAGAAGAGAGGATGAGACGACCAGAGTGAGTAGTATCTAAAACAAAAGCCATCTATGGTAACAAACTTGACAAGAGATCGTTGTTACAGTAAGTAGTACAAATTTGGGCCATAGTTTCTAAAGTTGTCAGTGAAGATGTTGAAGAAACTGAAATAATTTGTTGAAGCATATATTCTTTATCTTGTGTTACATAATGTGGAGAACAATATGCTTGATTCTTGAATTGCACTGGAATGCTCCCCTTTTAATTCCGAAATTAGTTTTTTCAAGTCTGCAACTTTTGACTTGCTTCCTTTTATGGCTGACCAGTCCTCTGTTATGGGCTTCTGCAGTGCTCTTCTTGCTTCTTAATGTGAAAGGTGTGTCATTGCAGTACATCTATGAAATCATACATTTATTTTTTATTCCATCTTTGGACAAGCAGTTAAATATCAATAATTTGCACTATATTGATTTCCTTCCAGGATGGCTTACATTATTCTGGATATCTGTCATTCCTCTTATTGTAAGCAGCATAGTATGGGTATTTTATTGGTTATTTTCTTCATTCAACCAATGATACGACCATTTCTGCAGACAATCTTGTCTGTTGGGACTAAGTTGCAGGCTATCATCACTCGAATGGCTCTTGAAATCAAAGAAAGACATGCAGTTATCCAGGGAATGCCTCTTGTACAGCTCAGTGATCACCATTTTTGGTTTGGTCGTCCCCAATTCATTTTGTTTCTCATTCATTTTACATTATTTCAGGTATGTTTCTACTTTTCCTCTGTGTTGTGATCATTAGAATTAAAAAAAAAAACAGTCTACTGCTTGGTTGACCATCAATATGATTTTGTTCATGGCAATATTCAAGTTATTTGTTCTTACATTTAAGGTATTATTTAAGATCTTCAGTAATATATATATATATATATATATATATATATATATATATATATATATATGACATAACCGTTTGGATTCACAAATCCTCTCTTTATATCAATTTCTAGATTTCCTATCTTTCCAAAAGATCAACTTGGTCCTGCCTCATTTACCCTCATTGTCTTCACCTTCTAAAGTCATGACCCTTAAAATTTTTAATTGTGCCATTATTTTCTAATCAACAAAATAAGAAAGCTGGAAAAATTAAACTGATATTAAGACCTGTGATGAAATTTGATACCTACATCTAAGAAAAGTTAGCAATTTAAATATTTGGTGCCTTTGTTCTGTTGTTTGAATAGGGATTTGTTCTTGATGCAATTACTTTCTCATTTCTCCATCTCCCTCTATTTTATTTGGTAAACCAAAAGAACTTACATTCTTCTAATTCTCTCTTCTCATTTTTCTTTGTTTTCTCCCATTCAGCATTCCTCTTTCTTTGGAGTTAGTAGAGCTGGAACTATATATTGACTCAAGCTTTCCTGTATGTATCCCTTGTTCAATAGGTCTATGATTTGTCTATTCAAATCCTTAGATATTTTTTGTACCATCAAGTAGTGAGTTCTGTTGGTCAAGGTTGCTCCTGTTTAGGTCAATTTGGTGTTGAATATTCCTTAAAGAAGGTACACTACTTGGAGTTCTGCTGGAGTGATGTCTATGAATTCCTTCAAAATAACTTCAATTTATGTGGAACATATGTTGTGCTGCATGTTCTTTGGCAGCTAAAACAATTAACCGCACATGTGCTGATGTCTTTGGGTTCCTCCATTTCCTAAGTGTTGCTTCAAGCTATCAATTTATTAGATTTGCCGATGTGATCAGTGACCCCTTTTTTGTCTTGTTGTGGATTGTTGAATTATGATAATAACAGGGTTCTCAATTTCGATGTGTACCGCCCGATACGGATGGTATGTACCGGTCCGAGAGGATACTGGTACGTAGACCATCCTCTACCAGGTAGTACCAGTATTTTGACCGGTACCGAGGCATATCGATCGGAACCGCCCCGGATTTCGATTGTTATTGAGGCATACCGACGTGGTAGGTGAAAGTACTTTTAAGGTTTTAGGGTATACCATCGGTATGCCTTAGCGTATCGATAGTACATATCGGTACGTACCATACCGAGCAAAGCTCGGTACGCCGATACGGACCGGTATTCAAAACCCTGGATAATAGAGTTTGAACATAATTAAAAGGTACGAAATTCTCGTAGGATCAAGTTATATCCTCTCCCAACATGAAAACTTAGGCTTTCCTTTCATATTTTGCATCTTGTCCAACCAAATTAAAGCATAGCCTTGATGTCTCATGGCATTTAATTTTACTTTTTGATCCTCTGATATTCCCTTTTATCCAAAGAACTCAATGACACTAAGCCATTAAAAAAACTTTTTTGGTTGAAGTTGGTCATGGAACTCCAAAACATCAATCTTAATATTGCCATGTGGATGAACTTATCCACAATTGACTTTCCCATAACTTGTTTGAGTGAATAGGGATTCTTTGGATATATCACTTGCATAACCTGTACCTAGAGTTTCAATTTTTTCATCACTTGCCTCTCTATCATGTAGTATCATTCTTCCATCATAGGCTCATAGCATTTACCCCTTTCCGCATAAGAAGAAAATAGTTCAAGAGCGTAGCAATACTCTGATTTTAGATGATGTGAAGCAAGAGAAGGGAGTGAAAGAGAATTTGTGATATGATAAAGAGAACATTTTTTCTTTGGATAGTTAATAACTAAGGGCTATCACAAAGTCCCCTCTCCTTTTATATACATTAATGATCCCAGCTATCAAACAACCTAATTAATTGACAAATCAATATTACAAATTGTTAAAGTCAAACACAAGTTATTAATTCATAATTACTCATTGTTGTGTGGAACTTGGTGACTAGGATCTTGATGGCTTGGAGCTTCAGACCTCTTGTCCAATGCTACCATTCATATTCATATTTTTTTCATTCAACTTATGAATTACTGGAAAGTTTCAAAAGTCTAGTTCCCAACACATCAGATGGTTTACAATCTGGAGTCCTCTAGGTAAAGTTATCACCAAATTATTAGATGTGTGAATGCAGTCCTGCCCTATCTAAAATTAATTTCAAATCTTTCCTTAAACTGCATCACTTACAGTTAACTTGATGCCAACAATCAGAAATTGACAAGGCTTTTGTTTGTTAAATATGCAGATTGGCATGATACATATGATCTTTCAAAATTTTGCAGAGTTAATTAAAAATTTTCAAATACAAATACATGAAAATAACTTTATTAAGATTAAAAAAAAAACATTTGTGAGCTGGAAGTAGTGTTTCCACCTTAGTGTTGCATGGACTCTGGCTTTACTTTAGACACTATATTCTTCCTTTGTTTCCTGCTGCCTTTTCCTTTTTCATTTTGTGTTTATTGCTAACTTATAGGTGAGATAAAAATATTGTGTAAACTGTAAAGTATTTGAAGTGTTGTTTCATGTCTCATGCAGAATGCTTTCCAAATAATATATTTTCTATGGATATGGGTTAGGCCTTCTCTCTCTCTCTCTCTCTCTCTCTTCTCCTTTTTTTCTTTATACTGTCTCTTGATCATGATACTTATTTCCTTCAAGCTGACAATTGCTATATCTTTGAATAGTACGAATTTGGATTGGACTCTTGCTTCCAAGACAACAGGACACTCATGATTGCTAGAATCTGTCTTGGGTAAGTTCTGTTATATTCTCTTTCCTATCCACTGATGTCAAATACTTGTAATGATAAGGTTGAATACCTGCTATTATTCAGTATCTGACTACACCCAATTCCACTGTCAATTCCAGAAGCATATACATAAGTTGTGTTTGTCTTATGTAAAGAATTGGCATAATGGATCATTATATTATCAGCCATCACAATGGTATACCTAGGTGTGGTACAATATCAGTATCAATGCGACCATTGCCCTAATTTATGTGCTCTTTATTGGCCTTGACCAATGACATTTGGTCACAACTGCAGCTTGTCATTTAGATGAAATGCTGGGATAGTGTTATCAGTCGTTTCAGGCATTTAGCCTTCAGACCAAGCAGATATGTTTTCTCACTAACTGTTAGTTGCTGTATCCTTATGTACTGGCCTAAGCCTATATCTTAAATCACTATAACAAGGGTTACTTTGAAATTTCATTTAATAAGGTGACAAGATAAAGGAAGTTTTATATGCTCACGAAAAGGGTTGAATAAAGTGTTTGTAGATGATATACATCATGTTACAAGTTTACAATAAGGTATTGTGGCTAACTGGTTGTTCCCATGTGTTATCTACTTATTTGTTTCCTCTTGGCGTTTATGCAGAGTCGTAGTCCAAATTTTGTGTAGCTACATTACGCTTCCTCTTTATGCACTTGTATCTCAGGCAAGTTCTTCTTCATCTTCTTTCATTTTGATACTTCATTGTTGTAGATTTTTATTATTGCTAGACCGAAGGTTTTTTAAAGAATAACATATCCCATTCAAAAGTGGTAAAATGTTCTTCAATCATTAAAGGACATTTTCTTCCTTCTTCCTCCTCTTCTACCCTTTTTTGCTTCCATCTTCCTCTTCTTCTTCTACTTTTTCTTTTTCTTCCTCTTCTTTCTCTTCCTTCTTCCTCCCCTCATGGTTCGTGGTACGTTCCGGCGTACCAATACATGGTACACTGGAACAAACTAGACACGTACTGGTCCGGCCATGGATCGGCACAGGTCCAGGAACCAAAACTGCAAACTTTGCTGTCACCTGATCATTTATATTATAACATGATACTTGATCAAAATTTCAAATACTCATCAAACATAGGCTAAAATACTGTCATAAAACCATGTTTCTGTGGTTAACAAGCAGTTCATTTGGCATATTGTTTGACTGGAGAATCTAGTTTTTGATGCAAGTTTCTGTTTGTTGAGATCTATCATTTGGCATATCTGCTTGAAGCTTGAAGATATCCAATGTTTGTAATTTTATGATCAAACAAAATTGATGCTTATGCTAATCTTCTTTCGTTTTCTTCCACTGCTTCAGATGGGATCACACATGAAGAGGTCCATCTTCGACGACCACACATCCAAGGCTATCATGAAATGGCACCAAGCCGTGAAGAAAAAGAACCCAACCACCAGTCCCAAAGGAAGTCCCAAAGGAAGCCCCAAAGGAAGCCCCAAAGCAGCCACTGTTGTCCCTGCTGACAGCGAAACATCTGCCGGCGATATAATGCTAACGCCTCCTCAGAGAGATCAAGATGCCCAAGGTACCAATGCCGGAGTGCAATGGTCGGCAGCCACCGCCACCCCAACCTCAACTGTAGCTTCTGCCGACCTGCTCACTGGATCAACTGAACAGCAGCTGCATGCAGTAGAACACGAGAAAGAAGATGATTACTCGTTCATTAATCTATCAGATACATGATTGTGATCATAATATAGTGCTGTTACAGGTTGGTTTTTGTTCTTTTTATTCTTTTTTTGTGAGATATGACAAATGTACATTACGTACAGAACAAAATGACCAGAAAGCTGTTGTTGTAATTGTGATGTTTCACATTTTTTAACCTATTTTAGGTGAGACCATATTGTCAAATCAATGCACATACAAAAAAATTCACATTTGTCTGAATTTTTTTTTAATTTACAAAGTCATAGTTTCTTCTTAATTTTATCTATTAAACCTTTCAAAAATCAACTCGAACATAAAATGTAATTTATGTTTTAATATCTTCTAAATTAAATTCTAAAAGGAAATATAGAAGTTACAAACTTAAAAGTGTCATTATCGTGTTATCCATAAAAGTCACATGGCAATCGGGTGATATGACTAGTAGATTTGATACGTAGACGAACGATGACATGACACCACCATCGTAAAACAAAGTTGATTAGAACGTCTGGTACAGCATTTAACATAAAGGTCGGAGTTTAATTCAAACATTAAAAAGAAAAACATGAGCGTTTAGGCAAAAACAACCATATTTCTGCACGAGTACACAATCATGAAGAATTATTTATTAAAAAAAAAATAATGTCACTATGGAGTACAACTTAGTAGAGTTTGATGCATGCATGCATGCCTGCCTCAAAAGTAACAACGGATGAAAAAATCTCGATTCCAAACTAGTGTCAGTAGCCTGTCGTCTGGTGCGGTGACCACTTCTCTCGACATCAGTGAATACTCGATTACAAACATTGAGATGAACGGTATTGAACTGTAGATAGTAGCTCACGGAACTCGCTCCACGTTATTTGTAGACCTCCAGAAGTACAATTCTTGTGATATGGCATGCTGCACAACTACTAAAAAAAAAATCATGTCACTAAACTGTCGTCAATTGGCATTCTACTGCTGATCAGAACTCAAATACTTTGTTCATATTTGGTAAAAAATATTTCAAATCAGCAGAATTTTGAAAACATAATCAACTCTATCTATGGTGAATGCAGCAGACTTTCTGAAAGACAACTCGATGCAAAGTTGCTAAATAGATAAGAGCCAGAAATAGAGCACCTTATAACTCGATGCAAAATAACCTATGGGTCTTGCGGTTCTGATTGGTTGCCCACAATTCGAGACATGAGCTTCGAAATCTCCAAGATAGCATTATGGACCTGATCATCATCTGGCTCTGTTTGTGCAGACCACCTAGGTGATTGCGAACCCAATCTGCTTTCACCGGTTGCCTTCTTCACCTTTCTACAAGTTACCAGTGCTTTCTCCAAGTCAGACTGTCTTAATGGTCTCGGTCCCTGGTAGAAGCTAAGGTTGTCATATGAATGAAACACATCTTACAATACTTGCAATTCCCACCTTGCTAAAATCATGCAGTAAATTGAGAAACAAGGGAGTTATAATAAGGCATCGAATACTTGGTATGGGTTTGATGAGCATGGTTTTTAGCCTGGTCCAGTCCAGGCTGAATATATATATATATATATATATATATATATATATATATATATATATATATATATATATATATATATATAAAGTTAACCAGCATTGATCCAAAACAAGTTAGCAGCTTTAGCTGACCCTAACTACACAGGGGGACCCACCACTGCAACGGAAAGCTTACGGCTTCTAATACCCTCTCTCGACACAAATAGGAAAAATCAATGATCTCTAAAAGCTAGAGATGAAGCCAACTTCAAATAAATTTAGAATTATTCAAGCAAGTTCTCTTCCACCAAAAATGACCATCTAGTGCACCAGTACTGAGGGCAAATCAGTTCAAATTCAAGACCTTAAATGGAAAATGAAAGACAAACAAAGGTTGAGACCAGCATGGAATAACAATGTGGATGTAACCATCACTAAAATTATAATGGCTGGAAGTAATCGATGTCCAGAAGTGGAACTCAGATGGAATCAGTAATGTCGAGAGAAATGCAACCCAACATGATCATAGGTTTGTCTTTTTCCATCCCAATCAACATAATCGTTAGTTAGGCTGTTGTTGCAGGTAATCAGAGTATATGTCTGCATACACAAGGGCAAGATGATGATTGCGTGTTTATCTCAGGTGTTATGTGGTCAGAAAAGAATTTCACAATTCTGACCAAGCCCTAGTTCGAAAATTCCCAATCCAGTGGTCAGGCACAGTTTTGAGGAATTTTGCGGTTTGCAGAACCTGTCCATGTTGATCAACTCATGGTTCTGAGAAGGATATATAGAAAATTGATGGTAAATACCTGAGTAAATTGATGATTTTGAATGTAGGTCATCCTTATATTTTGCAACAAAAATAATTAGCATAATTGATATCGATATAATATACTCACACTGGATGCTTTTCCATTCTTTTCGTCATTCAGCAGCTCCCTAACAGGGAAATAGGCTGCTTGTTTGCTCAGCTCGAGTATATCTGAACCGCTAAAACCTTCACACAAGTTAGCTATGTAGTCATAATCAATGTTTGCTTCTGCATTTTCACCCTTCAAGATCACCTTTAGGATCTTGGCTCTCTCACTTCGATCAGGCATACCAATTTCAAAGGTCTGGGTGAAGCGCCTGAGTATTGCCTCATCTAGCTCTGATGGGCGATTTGTAGCAGCAAGTACCATCACCCGAGCATTCTCTGTAAAAATTGATGCAAATAGAACTAGTATAAAAGAATTGCAACTAACAAAAACACATCAGTGGAGCTCGGGCAAATAAATTAATAAATGTATAGAGGACATTCTTTCTCATGGTCATGTCTTATCATGGAATCATACATGCCCATATCAGCCACTCATGCTTAAACCTCATGATAATTAGAACTTTGAAATTAACACTTCATTAAGATGATCAATCAATCTGGGCTTTAACATCTTATTGGCATGTGTGCATATGGACAAATGATGAAAGCCCTCTACAGGCGCATCACCAACCAAACTTTACAATTACTAATTTACAAATCAAAGAAAAATCTATAATTTTGATACATGCTAATGTACTAAAGTGCATGCTTTGCATTGATAGCTTAGGGGTTCCTTCCCCAATGAGTTCGATAACAATTAGTAAGTGAAATTGAAACAGCAATAATATTGCTGATGAAGAGCATTAGTCATATCTCAAGGAAATAAGACATTGCTGGTTAAAAGAGCAATAATGACAGATTAATCAAGAAAATAGAAGCAGAGATGAGAATGTTCCAAATACTCACGGTCTGTTGTGAAACCATCCCACAAAGACATAAACTCAGTTTTCATGTTAGTCATGGCTTCATGATCTGTATTACGGCGCTGACCCAAAAAACTGTCCACTTCATCAATGAAAATAATAGCAGGTTGTAGCTTATATGCTAGGGTAAAGACAGCAGCCACTGCAACAAATCCATTGAAAATATAAGCAAAGTATTCCAAAAAAGTAAAGAAAAGTAAATTTATGGATGCAATGCCTATCTACAGTAGACATTTGAGTCATGATATAATGCAACTAATACCCAATCTGAGCATAACACAGAAGGCAAGCAATCCTAATTCCAGAGTAGAAGAACCCTAGGACATTTTCTTCCTATGAATATTTACAAACTTTTAAGTTTTATCTGCAAAAACAGAATAAAATGAATAATTTCATGTTAAGTAATAAATATAATTTGCATTAAATATTTTTAGCAACACTGTGTATAGGAATGATGTAATTTTACTCTCACATAATATTCCTGCAACCTACCTTGTTTTTTATCAGATAAATTTTTGATGGCCAAAGCATATGGGATTTCAGAACAATAATATTTCTGAACATATGGAACTTTGCCATATGCTAATACAGCTGTTTTCACAGTAATCTTGGACTGATCTTCATACCACTAAGAACATTAGAGAGAATGAGATCAAGGAGAGACAAAACGAGAAAACTACCAGAGAACAAAAGAGAATAAACCAGTAGTCTGAAGCCTCCAGCTAGTATTTTCAAACAATTTCTTTCCCGTCAGCCAACACCATTTCTATGCAATTGATTTACTACTAACCCATTCTTTCGGAACAGACAAATAGGAGCAAGGACACTCATTTACAAACTCCACATAACATTGTTTATGCACTAACTAAAGTGCTCCCTATTTAACCTCCCAGAAAACCAGTGTCAAAAAATCAGTGCATTAATTTAAGACTGATAGAAAGAAATAACCCAGGTAGGAAAGTTAAATTGGTTAGATCATTTTTTAAATAAATGAATATGCAACACTACTATACATATTAGTGTTTTTATATTAACAATAACTCCTACCATGTAAGATCAAGTAACAAAACATAACAATTGATAGAACATGACAATATTACAACCAGCAAAACCTGACTTTAAAGGATAGAATGGATGAGACAGCTCTTTAGCATTCATTATGGATTTAATCAACAGTCATGGGATAGATGCTACATGTACGTCAAGTTCTCAGCAGGACTTTCCAAGACATTCACCTTTAATACGAGACCATGAAAGCTTCATTGACAGTGACCTTACCGAATCTATTTCAGATTTGATCTATCTGTCTTTCTAGTCCATACAAATCAATCTAGAGCCCTACCTTTTCCATCATTATGCCACTTGCAACCACCTTACATAATTGTTGTTGTCATTCAGGAAACTCAACTCCTAATATTCAATAGAAATCTCAAAATGCTTTTTATGAGAACACAATCACAGCAGAAATGCTTAGGTCATAATCAAATAAACAACCTCGTAGTTTATGTAGAGTTGGAAAATGACATGTAACAACAAATACTCAAGTTTGTGGAATTTAATGCAACTGTAAACCAAGGTAATTATAGCAAAAACATCAAATGTTATTTGAAGCTACTAATCACTTAATAGTTATCTTATCTTAATAAAAACAACAAACAAACAACGAAAAGGACAGTTCTTCTTCACATCTTTCTAATGAAGAAAATAGTATTACAAGGAAAACTATGCTGAAGGGTTCAAATGAAGTCAGTAACCTTAAACATCTTTGTATTAATTCATCAATATATCAATAAAGTTAAAGATTAACACCTGGCAAAAAGGTAATTAAAAACATTTTTACGGGAAACAGAAACTGCTTTAATGATCATCAGAAATGAAGACATTCATCAAAAGAGCAAAATTAAGTCCTGCATTACAAGCCATAAAATCTAGACTTACCAAGTTTTTGAGCATCCCCAAACCATTTGCTCATCAGATTTGAGATCCTCACATTAATAAAAACTGCCCCAGACTCTTTTGCTAAGGCCTTTGCCAGCATTGTCTTTCCTGTTCCTGGTGGACCATACAATAAAACTCCCTTTTGTGGACTAAGAAGTTTTCCATGGGAAAATAACTCAGGTCTGCTTAGTGGAAGAATGACCAATTCAAATAGAGCTTGCTTCACATGTTCTAAACCCCCAATAGACTCAAATTCAACATCAATGTGATCAGGATTTATAACATCGCAAGCTATCACATCCTGCAAAATCATTTATATAATTTATCATTACTGCATTGCTGATTTAACTATGATTTTGTTCTAATCAACTTGTGTCATTAAAAATAATGTTAATTTGTTTCCAAAAAATGATTTTTTATAAAAATTAAAAGTAACATGTAAATCTTAGAGGATGTCATTACATGTATGTGTGTGTGTGGTTTAAGTCCCCAAACTTGGCTTCTACCATATTAGATATTATTCTGCAGCATGGCACTTCTTATAGTGTAATGATGCTTGCTGGAGCACAACCATGTAGAATTAACAGGCCTGATATCTGCATGATGCAATGACAGTTCATACTTTATGATGTATATCAAGATTGATATCCTTTATTGTGAACTGACTCAAGTTTATAATTAAATATTACAATAGAAAAAAACTATGGAAACATCAGGGAAGAGAAAAACAAAGCTGGCAAGGTGTTCATTTATTATGTAAAAGATTAAAGTGGAAGTTCAATCTCTAAGTGCTTAGTCTGATGCCAGATGGCAATTCACTTCTCAATTCTTAACAAGGTCCACATTTGAATGTTCAAGATATACCAAGCACTTACAAAATACAAATACTCTAAACGGCCATGTGCTCAAACTTGCACCACAATAGACACTCATTCTAATACCTGTGCAATGACTTTGCAATCAAGAAAGACATGAAGGAAAGTAAAACGAACTCCCAACAATAAAGGTTCTGAACAATAAACCTAAGTTCTATAATTTTTGGTCCATACAGACCAGTATCCATGCCAGGTCCACAATGATCCAGCCAAAGGATATTATTTAACAAGGCTCATATTCACCAGAAACGAGAAAAACACAACCCGTTGTAACACACCAAATGTAACAAAGTTGATATACACAAAAAAATGGAGCTTCACACTAATGATAGTAAATGAAAAGGTGCAGAAAGATGAAGAAAGTGTATGTATATTTCATGGCAGACCATACTATATAAGGAAAATTTTAGTCCATGCCCAGAAGGAAGTGGTCATATGTAGGATGTGTGATAAATCCATCTGGCAGTCCAACTTGATTAGTCAAAATTAAATCAATTACAATTTACACCTTCACACAGAAAGCATAAGGTTGTCACAAGACCCTTAATAACCATCACCATAATTCGACAATCGACATACCCAAATTTTCAATGCAACAAATGCTTCATGTTAAAGAAATAAGATGTCAAAAATGAGTATATGATCAAACTTAGAAGAAAATATTAAAAACTAACAACTACAAAAGTACTGGTGAAATCAACATTAATTGACCAAATAAGAAACTCCATTGGACCACAAACTGGCAAGGAACACGGACCAATCACACCTTAGCAACAGATCAAGCATTTATTGTTAGCACTTATCAATGTAAATAAACTATTCAAGAAGAAAAAGGTCAATAAAAAGATTTTTAAAATGGAACTAAAATTGGACCATTGACATTTAACCTATTGCAATATGGTTAAATTAAACGATGATTCTTTAATAAATTTCAATGTTGAACGATCAGGGACTACAACAGATTGACGAATTCAGCCCCTCACGAAAACCTTAAGTATGGACATACCTGTTAAGCATACATTCAAGAATCTAAAAATTTCACATATAAAACCGACTATAAGCGATCACGACATGCAAGAAACCAAGACAAGGTCGGAAACAATCATTATCATCATATGAAGGAGAGGTGGCGAAAGGGAAAAGGGGGGCGAAGGCGATGACCTCGTATTGGTTGGTCTGGACGAGGGGGCGGCCGAGGCGCTTGGCGATCTCTTTCTTGTGCTCGAGGGCCTTCTTGGTGGCGGCGCGGTTAGGGTCGAGGTGGCGCAGCCCCGCGAAGAGGACGAGGCAGCTCAGCGCGGCACTCGCTGCGTACAGCACCAGTTCTTGCAGGAACCTCGACTCCGCCGGCCTCATCTCCTCCCCTCTTTATTCTGGCCCTCCCTCTCAAGAATGCCTCGGCAAGCCCTCGAAGTTGAGGCAACCGGCAAGAAAAACCTCGCTTATATATATATATATATATATATATATATATATATATATATATATATATATATATATATATATATAATCAACTTAAAAATCAAAGTCTGAGGCCCATTAATTGTCCGGCCCATAAAAATATACATACTCGAATCGGCCCATTACAATGGGCGTATCAAATAGATGGATCCATTTAAAGAGTTACCTATAAATTAAGTAATAAAAGATTGGGCTCATAAAGACGGCAATGGATACACAAGGAACAATGAACATGGCATGTGGCCGGCGTCGGTCTCCACCGCATCAAAAGCTGCAGGGCTTGTCCCTAAAGTCCGGCGTTGCCTTGGGGCATCACATGGCCCACTGCCCCGTGCTCGCCCACATGGGCGGCAACCCCCTCCGCCGGACCGTGGCCCACTTCCTCCCGTTGCCGGGGGCTGCCCCGGCACTTTGCTCGGCTGTGCTCCCCATCTTCCCTACCTGCCTTGTTGTCGGTTGCCTTGAGAGAGACACTACCTTGGCCCCTTGTCCCCTCCCTCCTGCTCTCTCTATTCGCTGATGAGTTGTATATAACGCAAACCTCTCGATGAATCAACTACCACCATTGCTTACAGCCTTCTCCTTCTCCTCCTCATCCATCTTCTTGTGGTCACCTCATAAACGAAGCTTGATCTCGCCGGAAAAGAGACGCACACGAAGTGTTCGATCGACTGTCAAGATATGGAAGATCTTGACAACCTCAAGGCAACCGAACTGACGCTCGGTCTCCCAGGGACGTCCGATGCGCCGGAGAAGCCAGCGACGGTCTCCTCTAGGGTTAACAAGCGGACAAACGAGGAGTGCTGCACTTTTGCAAGGAACAGATCCGAGGATACCGCGGCGCCTGCAGCTAAGTAAGTCCGTGCACAGCTTAGAGATCTTTAGATTCTTGCCGGATCTAAATCTTGATTGGTTTTGTGGGATTTGGCATGGCATGCAGAGCAAGAGCAGTCGGATGGCCGCCTGTTAGATCTTACAGGATGAACAGCTCTAGGGCAAGGAAGCTGGAGACGGAAGATAACTCCGGGATCTACGTGAAGGTCAGCATGGATGGAGCTCCTTACTTGAGGAAAGTGGATCTCAGGATCTACAATGGCTATAAGGAGCTCAGGAACGCCTTAGATGACAAGTTCAGATGCTTTTCCTTAGGTATACAATGTGAGAAGACACAAAGATATAGATAGATGGATATACAAATAAGATCATGATGACCTAATTAGTATACTGCTGCTTTGGTATTGCAGGAGGTGTAGAAGCACATACTGGTGAGTCTGACAACGCAATCACATACGAAGACAGAGATGGAGACTGGATGTTGGTTGGAGATGTTCCATGGGAGTGAGTCTTTGCTCTGTGGCTGCTGGGTTTCCTGAACCATCTTGTTCATATATTTGTGGGCTAACCTCTTCTACATCCGATCTGCAGGATGTTCATCTCTTCATGCAAGAGGCTGAGGATAATGAAGGGATATGAAGCAAGAGGTCAATGAGTTCAACGAGTGCACATAGATTAACAGGACTCTCTCGCTACTTGGATCACCATCTTCCATCCCAAAGAACCAAGTAAAAACAAAAAGAAAGTGGGAAGAAATTGTACCGAAACAGTTTTCCTGATTTTGATTCTCAAAAGAATGATTTATAGTTGAATTTCCCAGTTTTTATTTTCTTTGTAGAATCCATGTATATTGCCCACAAGATACATAGAGAAAAGGTTTTTGTTGTTGTATGGCTATCAATCGTGAGTACAGAAATGAGAAAGGACCTCGAAGAACTTGAAGCCTCGACATGGCCGCTCATCTTTGGATCTTCGTGAAGGGATGACAAAGCACAGAAAACATGGCTACCAGAGATGAGATGAGATGAGATGACATGATGAAAGAAAGAGAAGGGAAGAGTAAATTTTATTTATTTTATTTTGTATCAAATAAAAGTAAAATGTAAAGAGAGATTATGAGAATAAAAAGGAAGTTTAATCAAGATTAATAAGAAAGAACTAAAGTGTGATCAAGTCATTCCTTTTTAATGAGAAAAAAGATAGGTGATTTCTCAAGAAAACATCCAAAAGTATCTTCTTTTATTTTTTCTCAAATAATATTTTTAATTTAAAAAAAATCAAATACTCCTTAAAAAATTTTCAATCAATTTTTATTTATTTATTTTTAATCTATTTCTAATTATTGTAGTCGTTTATAGTTATTTTCAATAGTGTTTATGATATTTTATTGATATACAAAAAATATTATAAATAATATCATATCATTTTTTTATTGTCATTACTCATTTATTATTATAATATTATGTTTTAAAATTTATAATTAGTTTGGTTAATGCCAAAAGTTTATTTCGATTATTTATAATATTCTTAAATAGATTTTATAATATCTTTATTATGACGGCCAAAATATTATAACAGATATAAAAAACAAAAAAAAAATAATTTAAATATTTTTTAAAATTAGAAGTACTATTTAAAAAATTAAAATAGAGTTACCGATTAGAAAATATTCAAAATATGGTTTTTTTCTAAGAAAAAGGGACAAAAAAATCATCTTTTTGTAGCATTTATAAAAGGGGGGATTTCGATGATCGCCACCAAACGCAGCAAAGCTTGTTTCACGGAGAATTTATAGAAGGTATTCGATTACCGTTTATACGAAACTCGCTTTCATCTTGACCGTCCATCTACATGTTCCAGGAAGACCGAAACTGCTATGTGCACGATTGCCAACCCTCACCAGGAATCGAATGTATCAGAAATCTCCAGCGGGAATCATAGCGAAATGGAATCGAGGCAAAACGCCTCCTTTCGCATTGCTCAATCCGGCCGAAACGGGGAAGATCAGAGTTCTCCGGAACCCTAGTTCGGAGTTCTCCCGTTTGCTTGCCTGAAACGGTCGATGGAAGAAGAATCGGGAGGAGAGGATGCCCGGGACGTCGCGGAGCCCTATTCGCCACCGTCGCCGTCGGTCGGGGTTGACGAGGCCCGTCTTTCCCAATGCGATCGGGCGGAGTGCGGAGGAGAGGCTGGTTGTTTTTCCGTGCACCAGGGCTCCTCCGTGGCGTCGCCCCACTTCGGCTCGGACGTAGATGTCCTGAAACTTGCCGCCTTGGAGTCTGTCCCTGATCTCACCTACGCCGGTGATGGTGATGGAGAGGCGGCGTCATTGGAGGTGAAGGAAGCGGATGACTCGCCAATTTTCCTGCGGGGGCAGGTGGCGGAGCACGATGAGGCAGAGGTCTCGTTGCCTCAGGGCTTTCCCGTGGGACCCTCCTGCTGCTCTGATGGAGGTTTTGAGAAAGTGATCGCATTTGAGCCTGATGCAGGTGACCTCTTGAAAGAGGAGGTACTGCACATGGCAGCGGAAGAGACCAAAAGAACGCTAATTCCCCAATGGCAACAGGGCAAGGATAGTCTCAAGCAAGAGGTTTCGACTTCTCTGGGCTCGCCTGCTGTGTCTCCCTCTGGTTCTGATGGCGTTCTCCTGAAATTTGCTTCCTTTGAGACTGACGCCACCGCCACCATTGCTGGTGAAGATGGTGCTGTGGAAGAGGCAAATATGGATGTCGACAGTGTGCAAGTTCCCCTACAGCATCATGAGAAGGACGGTGTTCAGGAAGAGGTTCTGATGCTTCCCTGTAGCTCTGATGTTGGCCTTCTGAAATTTGCTGCCTCTGAGACCGTCATCAGTGCCAACACTGCAAACGATGATGTTGCACTGGAAGAGGCAGTGACTCAGATGGATGTCGATGGTGTGCTAAGTTTCGCATGTAAGCAGGCGGAGAACTGTGGGGGGGAGGACATTTCAATGCCTAAGAGCCCTGTTGCTTTGTCACCCTCCGTCTCCAAAGAACGACTTGAGAAAGTAGCAGCCTTTGAGCCTGACTCTCTTGCCACAGCAGGCGATGATGATGCTGTGAAGGAAGATGATACTGTGAAGGAAGAGGTGTCATTGGTTGATGCGGACAAATTGGACAATGTACCGCTTCCCCTATATGAGCAGATAGTAGATGTTGGGGGGCAAGAACTTACGATGCCTCAGGTCTCCCTTGCTGAGTTTCCCTCTGTCTCTGATAGAGAAGATGAGAACATTGCTAAGATTGAGCATGATGCATCCACCATGTCTCATGGCAGTGCTGATGTTATCGATGATGAGCCAGCACAAAAGGATGCAAAGACAGATGGCACATCAGTTGTTGAACAAAGGGGTGGAGGGCGGCGGAAGAGGGGCCGACCACCGAAGGCTCAGGGACAGGCAGCGAGGACACTTTCAAGGAGAAAAGAGGAGGAAGAGGTGTGCTTTATATGCTTTGATGGAGGTGATCTTGTGGTCTGTGATCGTAGGTTAGTATGCTTTCACTGCCATTTTGTTATGTCCTGTTTTGTTTTTACTGGTTTATCCTTTCTTTTGTTTCTAGAGGGTGTCCAAAGGTATACCATCCTTCATGTGTTAATCGAGATGAGGCTTTTTTCCGTGCAAAGGGTCGATGGACCTGTGGTATGTTCTGCACTGTTTCTTCTACAATTTTGTTGGCTTGCCTCTTCAATTCCTCGCAAATGTTCCCGATCTAGGATAACGTGTATTCGTTAATAATGGCATTACTGAGGAGACACGTTCATTATTGCCTAACAAACCTCTCTTCTTATCCACCCATGAGATCATATAGGTAACCATTATATTTGGTTCTAGATTAGTCCTAGTAATTTTGAACTCTCAGAAATATTAGTCAATGACTTCAATGTTTTGATTGAGTTAACAGCTCATTATAAAGTTGCACAGTTGTAATTATCTTATAGAGAGAAACTTCTAGAAAATTTTGCTAAATTTATGATGAACAAGTAGTGGATTTTTTTGGGATGGTTAGTAGTGGATGATAGGCATGGATTTATTGGGGAAATTTTGATGGCATATTAGCTAACAAGTATTAGGTTTTCAAAGCTTAGATTTCAAATTGGAGTAAGAAGAATTGAAT